ACGATCTTCAAACACCTAAATGCAATATCACTCACCATTTTCATTCTTCCAGAATAATTTTCTTCTATTGCCCTTTCTCGTTACTAAAGTTTTCACGTTCTCTTCCAATTTCAGTAACCCCTGGCGTCTTAGTGGCATTAACGCCTTGCTTGGGGAGAAATGATTAAAAGAAAGATCTCTAAGCTCGACTATCGACAGAGGTAGCGGTGGGTAACACGTAACGATCTCCACCAGAAGACAAACCGCCTGCCTAAATCTCATGCACTTTCTTATTTTTCTTGCTTTAATATATTTTGGAGACTCCTCTATTTTATCGTATTTTTTTTGACATTCACAAGACTTTTTTCATCTCTTTCGAATATCACCTTTTCTACACTGTTTTCTCTCATGAAAGTATGCGTTATTTTCTATTCATTTCTGTTGTTTGTTTTTTCCCCCACGCAATTAGTCTTTTCTACCGATTCCATTTTAACTTTCCCTCATCGTTCCGTTTCTCTGATTCCTTCTTCCTTCAACTTTCCGACGCTTCAATAAAAAACCGACAATATTAACGAACTGGGAGGTTACAGGCATTTCTTTGTGTGCATTTCTCTGAGAAATTAATAATCTTAAGAAAGAAAACAAACGCTGGCCGTTCAGAATACGTAGGTATCCTTTATTTAGTATAATCAGGAGGAAGTGTGCATACCTTGGCAATAAGTAAATAATAACGTACCCTCATTTTTATTTCAATTTATCTGCTGCTACTACATTCACAATAACTACATCGTATATATATATATATATATATATATATATATATATATATATATATATATATATGTAGTTAATGATGTGTTTGGTAATCCACATGGATATTTCTAAGGAGGATATAATCCAGAGAGCTCAAAGTAAAAACACAGTAAATATTAATTACAGTGTAACCCGGATATAAGAGAGTTGTCGGGATCGGAGAAGAAGTCTCTTATATCCGGGTTTGGTCTATTTTATATACATTAACACAGGCTCTAATTTGGGACCAGAGAAAATCTCTCTTATATCCGGGTTTCTCTTATATCCGGGTCTCTTATATCCGGGTTACACTATATTATGATAATGGTCGATCTGAGGAATTAGGATCGAATTTCGATCCCAAGGAAATAAATTATAATCAACATGAAATTTTAAAATTGTCTGTTTTTTAATGCTCCAAATGATTTTCTCAGCGTAGCTTAGATGTGGCACAAGTATGGGGCACACAGTGAGAATCGAACTCACTCGTAATTGTTTTAGCGAGACAAGCATGCTAACCATTACACCACGTCGTAGTGCCCAAAGCATGTCACAATATATATAAAAAAATATATAATATATATATAAAAATAATATATATATATATATATATATATATATATATATATATATATATATATATATATATATATATATATATATATATATATATATAAAATGCCATTATTTTTCACTCTTTTCTCCCACATTACATATCAATTGAGAGAGAGAGGAGCGAGAGAAAGTACAGTTATTTTTGTATCCCAAATACAATTGTCGGCATGATTAAGTTATATATACATACATATATATACATATATATACATATATATGTAAAAATGCAAAAATGTGGCACAAAGCCAAATGGGAGGAAGTGAAGAGTGGTTTTCGTCTGTCTCATAATTAAACTTAGCTAGCTACAATTACTGACCCAAACCAAGCACATTATTCTTTATGCCAAAACAATACATTCTTACCATTCTTACTACAGTCACCGTAATACCTCAGGTCTCTATGAAATCCTAACAATTTCTCATAGATACAGTTTATCTGTATGGTGAGGGGGGAATAAAAATAATAGCATTAAAAATGAAACCTAATGAATATTTACAAACATGGAAGAAAGTTTATCAGACCAATTAACATGAAAGTATTTATCGAAAAGTTACAGAGAAGCTACAAGTTTTCCCAGAGTATCGCCGATGGAAATGTAAGCCATTAATTTTTTTCCTGTTAAAAGTGGACTCAAATAACTTACGATGCTCACAGGAAGATATGTGAAGTATGTCTGCGATGTCCCGTGTCGAGTGACTTGGATGATTTTAATCAGCTTCTCGATTTTGTTATCATCAGCGATGAAGCCCTATCGAAACGTTGCGGGTCTTCTAGACCCCAATTTCCAATTCTCAATCTAGCGAACCACTTAGGAACAGTTCTCCCATTACGACAACATCTCCATAAACGGTACACAATTTTTTTATTACTTGTTTGCTGTTTTATCCCCGTTTTGTAAATAACAAAGCATCAATTGACGAATACACCGCTCAAAAAGTTATGTTAACATGATATAATTACGAATATATATATATATATATATATATATATATATATATATATATATATATGGTGGACTATCCTATCGTGAACAATAAATGAGAGTCAGCACTGGATCGTGCCTTTGGTTTTACACTTATGCATGCTAGCAGGGGCTATTTTGGAAAAAATCAGGTAAGGGAAAGACATATTTCATTTATGATTTCTTACGTGCGATACGAGCTTCGCCTTGCTGCGGGCGAGAAAGCCACACTGGCGAAATTTGTTAAAGCAGGATTTTGATGGCTT